CGACCGTCGGCACACTTCACTCCACTGTCTATACCATAAGAAATGGGCTATGAAGAAAATCGTTTTTCCCGATTTCATTTTTTTTTTCTTGTTGTGTTTATTATCTTAACCAACACAACACACATTCAAACCGACCAGAGAGAGAGGAACGGAAAAAAAATCTTGAAAAAATAAAACGGCTGAGGTTATTTACGGTAATTTTTCATTTGAGTCTTGTGTGGAAGTGAATCCGAAAGCGCCAAGACACCGAAGTCAAGTCGTCCAAAAAATATATATATTATGTACTGTAGTAGTCGTATGCCGACCTTTTGTTTGGGGTTTTTTCCTTTTTTATGAACGGTCGATGACTGTGATGATGTTATTATGATGATGATGTGGGAGAGTAACCCAGCGGTCCAAGATTTACGAAACTTTATTTGTGTGTGTGTGTGTGTGTGTGTGTGATTCAGGGTTTGGTATCAATTCAAAAGGCAGCAAATGATTACATTTGCCTTTTTCCTGCATCACGAAAATAGTAATTGTAGGACTAATTCTTCATCCTCGATAGCGACCGGCTGTGACTACTGCTACCGCTCTGTCTCTGTATACAAAACAATATTTCCATTGGCATTTTTTCTTGGCATTGAACCCAAACACATCACTCAGACAGTTTTTTTTCTTTCGACCTCATTTTGAATACGGAATTTCGATTTGGTGCCAAATATATAAGTCAAACTTGTGCACAGCCAATCATTGTGTAATCAAATTCGTTTTTTTTGTGTGCATTCATATGTTTCGAGCGGCAACAATGCCGGTGACCCGATCCCGGTGAAAGAGGTTTAAAATTGCAGCCGAACAAAAGAGTTTAACTAATAATTCAAACGAATTATTAACGTGACTTTTTACAAAAGTCATAACCCGTGTAGTCAAAGTTCATTTGGCTGCTATTGTTTACATGTTGTAATAACACTTTCAGTTGCTGTTTGAGGAAGAAAGCAACAGTCTAGGGATTTCATTTGGTTGTGGCTATGGCTCTGTGTGTGAAACGTTTTGTCGTTTTTTTTTACCTGTGATGAATAATAATAACTGTTTCGAGCATTCTTGAGAGAAAAGGAAAATATAGCACCAAGTTACACGAAGGAAAATTACGTTGGAGATTAAACGAAAACATCCGCAATGAAGCTATGAGAAGTACTGTCAAGATTAGCGAACGCATTCGCATTATCATTGCATACGAAACGAGAAACGCACAAAAAAAACAAAGTAATGATCTTGTGCTGTCAGTCTCTAGTTCAGTCAAGTTTTGGCGATTGACTTATTAATTTATTTCCAGTGTTCTTTCGTGCATTCTACAGTCTAGTGGATGCTGACTGAGAATAGACACAGTCCATGATAAGTGATTAGCGAGATGAAAATTGTGCATGCATATGTTTTATTTACCTTTTCGTCTTTAGTTGTTTTATTGATAGTCTGATGCCGCATTATACATTGAATTGTGACTAAAATGGCTATGGATTAGAACCACTTTGCAGAAGCAACTAAGCTCACATCTATTGAAACAAACTGTACTTCTTAAGATTAGCTGATCGATTTGAATACTTACACATTTACACATAACCCCTTTTACAATATAAAGTTCATGTCCACCTCTCAAACTTACCTTATAGAACCGTAAGGATTGATTGGTTTCAGTAGTTATATTTTAGTGACCGAAGTGTTAACATTGATTCAAGTATTTTTAAGTTAAAGCAAAGTTTACAAATTTTTTTATTTTACGTTCAGCGCGTTGAAATTTAAAAGAAAAATTGAAATAAAAAAGCAAGTTTTTCCTTGAAAATTGTATCTAAAAGCATTGCTCTCTTCCCAAAAATGAATATTACCGAGCTAAACATCGATTGCCTCGAAAAAGTGTTCAAAAATTTAGAACTAAACGATTTATTAAATGTGGCAGATTCGAATAAATACCTAAAGATGATTGCTGAAATGGTCTTCGCTTCCAGATACAAGAGACATTTTTTCAAGCTCTTCGTTGGCAGTGAAACTCCATTTGGTCTGAAATATCGAAATGAAATTGCTAAAACTAAGTGGCCTCCTTACGGCAGCATACCTCCTTACTCCGTCTATAATCGATTAGGACATACAGACTTGGAGTGCATAGAAATGCATTCTTTGGTAGACTGTTTCAAAGTACTGCGTTGTTTTGGACACCTAATATTCAAACTGTCAAAAGCTATTCATCATTTCCGGGCTTCAAGTTCGATACTCGATTCAAATGAAGACGAGGTGACAATCAAAGAGAAGCAATTGGCTCGTATTGCCTCGGCCCGCGTTTACACATATGTAAGCAAATATTGTGCCGGATCATTGAATGAAATCGTAATTGATGATTGTGTAAAAGGTAACCTGAATTACCTTAGGAAGGTCTTTTTGAACGTTGAACAGGTTCACATACAAGGTAATCGTATGAAGGGAGACTGGTTAAACAGATTGTTTCCGAAGATGCAATACCTGGAAATAGATTTTGAAAGTGTCTTCAAATCAATCAATCGATGGGACCGTAGCGCCCATTCTACATTTGACTTTACGAGTATTGCGAATCATTATCCAAATTTGATTCATTTGAAATTATGCCCGGAGCTCACCAGCGGAGGTGAAAAATTCGAACAAACATTTGCTCAGAGCTATCATCTTTTACGTCTAAATCCCCAGCTGCAAGCTTTGGAAATGCCATTCATCGGACATCGTCAACTACTTCGAGCGATTAGTGACAGCCTGCCACATCTTCAATACCTAACTTTCAACTCTACATACGTTCACAACCTAAATTACAATGGCGATAGGGATATGTACCATTTAAAACATGTGGAAAAATTCGTGTTTCGGGTGAATTTACATTTGCAAAGACTGCTACCAGAACTACACTTAACGTTCGATAAACTGGAAGAGTTGCATTTTTTCAACTATTCTATGTTGCGTTCTTTCAACTATCAGGAGCAAATATTCTATTCTTTCGTCGAAAGGCATCCGTTTATAAAGAAATTTGTTACAGTACTTACAGGGGCAAGAGATGAAGAAGAGATAATTCAGGTGATTTTAAGAATAGTTGAAGCATTGCCAAATCTAAAGCAGATCGGACTTGGATGTAGGGTTTTGACACACAGCTGTGCGGCCAAAATTATTGAACGATGCGAAATACTAAAAAGATATCGTTTCTGGTGTGATCCAACGGAGCCGTATCATCATGAGACTGATTCAAAATATGATGGAATTTCCCGTGTTGAATGGTGGTTCTTTACAGACTGATTCATTCATTTTTATTTCTCAATTCCTTCAAATATTGTCCTTAGTCTTATCCGATTGATGTAATATCAAACACTATTTGTTCAAAATTAACTGATTTTTAAATAAATAAATCGTAACATAGTTGAAAGTTTTTAATTTTTCGTGGTTCTAGAACAGTATTTGATGCACCTGATATCTATTCGTGAGACGTAAAAGAATGTATGTTTTTTTGTCGATTTATATTTTTGAAAAGGAAAGTATGTTTTCTGTTGATTCTATCTGCGTTAAAAGGAAGTATGTTGGCATTCCGTCTAGCCTCCGCGGTTTTTCACGGTTTCCGCGGAACTGATAAGAGATAACAACTTAGTGTCTTCGGCAAAGTTGTAGTACTCGAAGTCTTCTATAACATTGCTGAAAAAATTCTATCTCTTATCTCTTATCTCTTATCAGTTGCGCGCAAATCGCGCACATAAAAAAGCAAATTTTATATAGAACTTTTTTTTTCTTATCATTTTTCGCAATGTTATAGAAGACCTCGAGTGCTACAACTTTGTCGAAAAAACCAAGTTGTTATCTCTTATCAGTTCCGCGGAAACCGTGAAAAACCGCGAGGACCCGCTAAAAACGAACATACATTCTTTTAACCATTACTAGTTGCAATGAAACATACTTCTCTTTATTCCTACGAAGTTGGACCAACTTGCGTTCTTTTACGTCTCATATACCGCCATAGTTATAAAAAACGTTTTACCTTCCAATTGCAATACAACCGTTTAATAACGGCGAAAAACACATCCGATGGGCATAAAATCAACCATTTCAAGTCGCTGTGAATCAAGAGATAAAACGGCATAATTGTATTGTACACTGTTACAAACCTGCGTTGCAAATGTTGTCACTGTAAACACAGAACTAGTGATTATCACATCAATCAATTGAAAGCGATCTGAAAATTAGTTAGAAGAATGCAAAATAGGCAAATTGAATTGTTTCGAAATGATTACATAAAGCTGATATCACTAGTTTTGTATTTACGTTGGGCCCGTGAATTGATTCCGTCAAGCAACTTTCATTTGATTTCATTTGACATTTGCTGTAATAAGACTTTCCACCGTTGTTTGAGAAAGAAAGCAACAGTCTGGTAAAATCATATAGTTATGGCCATGACTCTATGTCTCTCTCACTTTCTCTCCCTCTGTACAACGTTCGGTTTTCTTTTTTTACCTGTGATGGATAATAACTGTTTCGAGCATTCTTCAGTCCGTTCCACAAATGGAGAAAAAGAAAATAAAGCACCAAATTTTTACTACACGAAGGGAAATTACGTTTGGGATTAAACGAAAACATCCGCAATAAAACTAAAATGAAGAAAACGTAGACACAGACGACATTGTCGGGAAATATTAACAAGATTAGCAAACGCACCAGTGCCAATGCATAAGGAATCGGCATACGAACGAATAGATGAGCAAAAAAAATCCTAAAAAAAACAAAGAATGATTTGGTGCTGTCAGTCTGTGTGTCAGTCAGTTTTTGCCGATTAGCTTATTTATTTATTTTTGCAAAGTTCTTTCGTATGTCTAGTCTCGAGCCGAGTAGTTGCTGCGAAGAATAGAGACACATGCACATCCTAATAATAAGTGATTAGCAGACAGTACAGAGTTCGAACCTGTAGCTCCACACATTTCTGCATATTTTGACTAAATTCTTTTCGTATTCAATTAAAACAACAACAAAGGTTCTGGTAGGAGAAATTGCCGTTGCAATAAAACAATAAATGCTTTCATCTTTTATTGGATTGTTAAAATAATGATGCTCTCAATTACATGTCATAAAAGCAAAATGTTCAGCACAAAACCAAACTTAAGTGAAAATGACAGTAGAACTTATTCATATCGCAATAAATTGTCTATTGACTGATCTATGCATACCGTTTCATTTTGTATGTTTCACAATTTCACAAAAAAATAAACTTATTACCATAAATACGATTTAATTTTTTCTCTTTAAATTGTCTTTTCTGTTTTTTTTTTTTCTTCTAATTTCATTTTTATGTTCTCAAAATTACTTCGAGGAGATTATATTTTATATCTATAGATTAGACGAGGCGATTGAATGTATACATTTTTACATGTAAATTTCGAGTCAAACAAATACTGATAAAAATACACGATACAAATTACAAAGAAAAAAAACACAAGCAATTTAAATAAACATGTACAATTTGTATCGGCAAAAATCGAAATGCTTTCCAAGCTGATTGAGGCTGCGGAATTTTTTGTTACAGCATCGACACCGGAACACTTTGAGGCTACGATGTTGTTTCATGTGACGATGCAACAAATAATTATGTGTAAATGACACACCGCAAATGACGCAAGTGTGCGGTTGCTGCACTTTATTCTTCAAATGTTGTTTCAGTTCATCCAAAGTATCATACTTTTCGGGGCACAAAATACATACGAATTGTTCGCTTTTGATTTGGTCAATTGATGTGGTCTTTGTTGTTGTTTCTGGCGTGGCCGTGGTGGACGCGATGGACGAGCATTCCGATGAAGTGGCTGGGGAGCTCATATTCGAGTAGATGTTTCGCATTGGATGGAATGGTTCCGACAGTGGATTGAACGTATACTTTTTCGCTGACACAACAATTTCGTGTGATGAATTCTTCAACGTGCGTTCGCCATCCGATTCGGCAGCCGTTTGAATGTACTGTACACACGGAAAATTCTTCGTGTAATAACTCGGCTCACAAAGTTGGTTGAAGTCTTTCGTTTTTACCATCGATAAATCGTCGTACAATAACCGGCTTTCACTCGATCGTCCATCGTAATAGACATCGCTGCAGAAAAAAAAAGAACGAGACAAGAATAGAAAAAAAAATGTAATCAAAATTTGTTTTTTTTTTCTGTTCGGCAATTTGTAGATAATGCTCCTAATTCATACCCATTAAACTTTTGCTCGTATTCTTCGTACGTATTCCTTCTGCTGTAGCCGTGTGCATTCATTTGCACAGTTAAATGCGTTGCTAACGATGATTTGTATGTGGTATGGTCGATGGCGGCACGTTCACAGTTAGACAATGATTTTTTCGCATTCATATAGAATTTGAATGACATTTTCGATGAATTTGGCAACTTTGGCTTGCCTAATGGCTTTTCCGTCTCCGATAACGATGTGGGATTATGACTGCAAGTCGTTGAATAACATGCATTTGGCCCACTGAATCCATAGCATGGTGTATTTAGCAATGAACGCCATTCGAACACAAAATCACCATACTTTTGTGGACCCAGTGCTTCATGAAATGGTGACGTCATCTTGCACTCTTTTTTATTCGATTTTTTTTTCGTCCAACTTTTTTCTTTCTTTCTTTTTTTCAATTTGTTCTTCTTTTTTTGTCGTTGTTCTTACAAGTTATGGAATTTTCTTTTACAATTCAAACACTTGACAATGATAAAAAAAATTTCACAAATAGTTGAAAACATAAAATAATTGCGACATCAACTGAAGTGACTGTGTGTGCACGCGACCAAACTAAAATGAAGTATGAGTGCCAATCGAATAGAAAATCGTCGGTGAAATTCATAGGCTTGTAAATCGTTCGAAAAGCGGTAAATTGGTGCTTATTACTGCGTCTCAATTCTAAAATGCGAAAAAACATCACCGTCGTCGTGATCGTTGTCGTCGTCGCCGACAACTACAAACACGACGAAATCATGTACAATACAAATGCGCATTTCGATTATGATATCGATGAGAGTGAGAGGAATTTCGGTTGAGATTGTGTGCGCTTCTGTTCTTTCGACACTCAACAAAAGAAAAAATACTGAAACATTCAGAAATTGTGCATGTCATCGATTGTTTGCCAGTCGAAACCAATGTACAGTTTCAATAGCTGATGATATTAGTGCATGTTTGCCGCCATTGGTGTGAGCGGCAAACAGTACAACACAATCGAATCAAACACTTTTTTCCTCTCTGTCCAACTCTTTATCGCCGCATTCATTCTCTCGCCAATACAGCAGCACAATGACCGCACAAGTTTTTCTCGCCGTTCGTCGTCGTTTGCTTTTCAGACTAATAAATTTTGTTTTAATTGCTTCGAAATTAGCATTTACATATGCGAGTATGTCAAACGATAATGAGATTATATTATTCATTCACAGAAGTCATTTCTTTGGCATGCAATTTGAAAATGTTTTTTTTTTCCTTCGTGTTGAACAATTAAATGCGAGTTCGTCTTGAATTCGTGTGCTCATCGCACGAAAAAAAACAAACAAACGGGCCGTATTCGGTTTATTGGTGAATTGCGTTGATCAAATCAGTTCAACGACATCGTACAAAAATACGTTGTTGTGCCTTTCTTACGATTATATATTTAATCGGCTCCGACTTTCAATTTTACCAAATAATTATCAAGAATGTTACGGTTTTCTGAACCAAATGCGTATGAAGTATTTCTCTTTCAATTTGATGCCCTCAACTCTGAAATGAATACATTTGCGATAATTAGCTGAAAATCGTTGAAATTATCGCCATGAAATCGGCATCACATCAAACATCGGTGCGAGCGCAAAACAAATGGTAAAATGCCCAATAAGCAACGGTGGCGGCAACAGCAACTGAAATATTACTTCTTTTCATGTGTGTGTGTGTGTGTGTGTTTTTTTTTTCGTCTCTCGCTCCGTTTTCTTATGCGTGTCTAAGTGATTAATAGACCAATTTGAATAAACATATAGTTGAGCCGTATCAGATGGAGATTTTTTTTTGGAGTTTAAATTTTCACAGATTTATCACATTTTAGCCATCGAAATCATTTAGTTATTAAACTCGATAAAATGGTCACCACCGCGACACGAAATTTGTTAATTTGGTGTGAGAGAGTCGGTGGAGAAAGAATGTCGATGTGCACTGTTTTAGCGGTGCTAATCGAAAGAAGAGAATTATCATTGTCCATGTCAAATGCTTCTACTTTTTTCTCTTTCTCCTCTGATTGACCATGATGTTGATTATTGCGTGTGATTTGGTGCGTTGATGCTGCCATGCACATAGCGCTCATTCGAATCGAGACTCGATTTCAACATAATCGGATTTCAATTTGAATCATACAATTAATAATAATCAGCGGTGAAGCTCTCGAACTCATTATTACATATTAGCCGTAGACACGTGTGAAAACAACGAAATATATTGGTCGATTTTGTATACAGACACCAAGTCAAACGAACGACTTACAATCGAAACATATGCAAAACAAACGGCCGTACAACTAACGTTGACACATCAAAACGCTGAGCCCAATTTTCTAATTGTATAATACGACGGCTAAATATGATATGATTCAGTTTTCTCTTGAACGACCGCTTACTTTTTTTTTTATCCAAGCGCCAAATAAACAGCATCCGAAAGTGTTACCGTGAGTGAATGGCACGTACGCAATCGTAACCAGTTTCGGTTTAAATAGTGTACGTACTCATGAAAAATGAAAAAATTCATCTCAAATGGCTCGAAATAGATCATGTGGCAGTCATATTCTTTTGAATTATTGCTTCAAACAGAGAAATGAAAGTGAAAAAAGCATTACGACCGAGGCGTAGTGAGAGTCATACAAATGTCGTTGACAAACAATTGTTGTTGCTGCAGCATTTGAATAATCCACAACATTGCCAGCAACACGGCATTGCGTCGAGCTAAAATGGTGGAGAAAAAAAGCAATGCTAGACAAATTCCAAAATGAAAAATTATAGAATTCCCAAATTTTATGGTAATGACTTTGGCCAAACTCACTAATTTTACTAATCATAATCATTACGTGTGCGCTTGCGGTCACCCTCATTAGAGAAATAGCAAATCAATCGAAGGTTATTATGTATAACGCCATCGACTGACGCCAAGTAACGGCATCGCTTAGACCTATCAATTTTCAATTACAAGACGAACATTTGCATTCGTAATCGAAATCAGAGCAAAATGAGTAAAGTTGCGCTGAGAGAAAAAGTGATGGTAGGAAAAGTCACAACGAGAACGATTTGGGGAATTTATTTCTAAATTTTGCATTCATTAGCAATGATTAGCAATGGATTAGACATTGGAAGGAGTGAATTTAAATCTCTTTAGCCATATGCAGATTTTCAATTCGAATTTGTTCAATTTTTTGTCGAATTTCACCCAAACGTCTACTGTGTATTTTGTCAACATTCTACCGTTGAACCGAACCATTTCCAAGAACAAATCTTTGGTTTAGCTTTTTTCCATGTCGGAGCATTCGAATATGTAGAGCAACTATAGTTGCAAGCCGATTAGAAATCCCATTTCGTTTGCATAGCATAATAAAGTTTTTATTTTGGGTATTTTTCTGTTGTTGTTGCAAAATCGATTTACCTACACGATTGAAATATATTCAAAAGATCGAAAATCCGGCAGAAATGTTCTTTCTCGTTTGCGAAGCAAATTTGTGTTCTCTTTCAAGCAATATTCGATCCTCACATCTCAAACACACACACATACCAGTACCAAACACATTGTTTAATTTTTGTCGATGTTAGTTTTTTTTTTTCTAACGAGCCTCATATGTGTGTGCGTGCATGTGTGCGTAAATGGGTTTTCTGGAAACAAAATACACACAGTCTCAAGACAAATGCGTTGCGTACGAAGCTTACGTGGTGTGTGCGCGCCAGTGAAACAGAAATACACACGCCAAGAACGAGAGCTGATTTGAAAGTATTTGCTTAAAATTCGATGCCAAATGAGACGTCCAGTTAGGTCTCATGTAGTGGCTAGGGTATGTGCTGTTGTGAGTGTGAGAGAGAGAGATTCGTGTCTGAAAAATGTCGAAAACGTACATAGAAATTGAACGTGTTCGGTGGCTGAATGAGAGGAAGAAACACGACGACGACGACAACGACAACAACGATGGGAAATTATTATTCCAATAGCGGCACATCTTTCGCATGTGTATTGGTCTTGGTAGAAAATTCGAAAATTTTCGTAAGTACTGCTCTGTCCTTCTCCGGCTACACTTCATTATCGGTGTCGCTGTCACTGTTCAACCCAAAAAAGGCACAAAGATCTTGCAAACGATGATTAAATTTGTGTGTGCGTCATTCCATCTCGCTCTCCGCATGTTCGGTTTATATACCAAATGCGGCAAGAGAGCGAGCGAGAATATAAGATGTGTAAAGTCCTGCATGCTACAATATTTTCGAACAGTACGTACATGGAGATCAGCTCATAACAAAACAAGCAACAGCAACAGCAGCAGCAGCATAGGCATTGCCGATGATGGTGATTTCTTCCCTTTCTTTTTACTCTTTCCTTTCAGTATACGAGAGTATGTGTGTGAATTGGTATCGGCACGTACTTGTGGTGGCCGAACATGGATACTCAACGGCATTTGTTAATATATGTACAAGTTTTTTTTCTTCCTCTAACCAGCCAGTCCTTCTATTTGCACACACATCTCACTCACTCTCGATGCATGCATTCGCAACTCTCTTACTCTCTCTCTCTCTCGCTCGCTTGGTGTGTGTATCGCCTTCAATATGTTTGCTATACATAAGAGAACGCGCGCGAGACGGCATCGAGTTTAAATTTTGTTACGAACGAATGGGACGCAAAATGTTAGGTAGCAAATAGGCATCGAAGCGGGCTAGTATCACACGCACGCACACAATATAGATTTAGATGGGACGAAAAAGAAAACGACACAATAAAAACCGAGAGGAATATCACTTGGCCGAATAGAAAATACAATGCACAGAGCACAGCACACACAGCGAGAGAGCGTCAGCATCACAGTTTTAACACACATACACGCGTAAACACACAGAGACACACGGACACACAATACAGCACACAACGCACAACACAACTGAAACGCAAACATTCAGTCAGTCAGTTTTTATGGTAAATTCATTTATCGTTTGGTTTTAGTTCGGCACACAGCATGTACAATCATTTGGATCTCGAAAGTCAAAGGAGGTAGACGTGTCCGTCACTTTTGTCTGGCGCATTAAATTCAAATCTTCAACAACCAATTCGAAATTTCACTGCCAACCTACAGAAAAGAACACTTTTGTTTCATTCTCTTTCTTTTCGTTTTGTTTCGGACAATACACAACATAAAAACGGCAACCAAAATTTTAAACGCAAAAAAATACTCATGTGATAAACAATAGAAAGAAATAACGTTTTTTTAGTTTTTTTTTTTTGGTTTTTGAGTTTATTGTTTTTCCTGATTTTTTTTTTCGTTATCCACATTCCGTTGAGATTTAATGTGTGACTAAAAGAGAAAAGAATATTTAAAACAAAAAAATTGCATCAAATCGAAATCCAAGTGAATCGTTTCGTTCCGCGCTAAATTAAATAAACAAACATTAAATTCAAGTATAAACACGCACGTGGATCATTTTAATTTCAATTTGTTATCGTACTGAATGCAAAGTGTATGGTGTTTAATGTTAAACCGCGCGGAAACAAGCGAAAGTTTTTGTGTGAAGAAAATATGGCACACGGAGGAACACAGAATGCGGTTCCTCCGTCTGAGCAACGTAGCAGTATGAACAATAATTTTTGTAATACGTGTGGTGTTACTTTCGATAGTAGTGAATCATTACAAGTACATATCCACAATAATCATAACCAGCCCGTTTCGGCGGCAGCTGATTCCAGTGACAATCAGCCACCGACACCGCAATCAACAGCAAATGGTGAAACAAATCAACAACAGCAACAAACATTGAACCATTACAATCGACATTCTCAGGAGTTTTCAAACGCAACCCAGTTACCAAATTATCATCAGCCAAGTGAAATGCATTATCCAAGCTATAGTATGCCAAACTACGATCAATATTATCATCATCAGCATTCGATGGAGTATGGCTTGCCACCGCCAATTTCGACGCACTATTCATTGTCTGCGTCGCAATCTCAATCCGAGTACAAAGTTGTGCCTTCGTCGAATCGCTTTCATCCATACGGCGTAATTTCGAATAATTTACCGACACATCATCCGTATGCATCGCATCATTCAGCCGCCATCGCTGCTGCTGCTGCTGCCCAGAATCAATCGCAAAATGGGCCTGCAATTGCTGCGGCTGCAGCCATCTCAGCCGCTGCAGCGCAAAGTTCGATGAGCCCAAGCATTGTTACATCATCGAGTCCAAATCAAAATAATTTGATGAATTCGACCACAGTACCATCGTCAATGCCTCAAACAGCGAACACAATTTCGGGCCAACCGACGCCATCACCATCACCGAGACAGTGCGATAAGTGCGGTGCTGTATGTGAAACAATTTCGCAGTTAGCCGAACACACGGCAACTGCACACAGTGTCAACAATAATGCGAACGAATCGACGATCAATCGAAATGCTGGAAACGGTGACATCGAAAATGATATCCCATCATTCCAATACTCAAACTTTGTGCAACCAAAAGAGGAACCACATCCGGCCGATTGCGATATATTGGATTTGGATTCACAGAAAATGGTGTATCCGCCGCATGAAATGAATCAACAAGGACCATTACCGCCAATGCACTCACTTCATCCAGCCATGCAAAGGCCGATGATGTGGCCGCACGGTCCACCGCCGCACGAATCGAACACATTTCTACCGATTCCGCCGAATCACAATCAGAACGATCTGAAGCCGCCAATGTTTGGTTCGATCAAGAATGAGTTTTCACCGCAAATTATCAAACAAGAGGCAGCACATCATCTCACTCAATTACCGAGCACACCAACGAATCCGCCACAATCCGATATTTCCAAATCGTTTGGAGGTAGTGATGGCAGTCAAACAAGCCCATCCGAATTTCCAAGCACCACAACGCCACAGGATAATGGGCCACAATTTCGTACATTCGAAGCGGCCACCTCATCGTTGCCAAACGGTGGTCCAATTATGAAGGCCACTTCGTGGAAATCGAATGAAGCGCGTCGACCAAAAACATATAACTGTACAGCGTGTAATAAATGGTTCACCAGTTCGGGCCATTTGAAACGTCACTACAATACAACGCTACACAAGAATGCAGTGAAATCGAGTGGCCAACCAGATCCAGCATCGCTACCGATCAGTGCACACCATCATCCGGCTCGCGATCCCAATTCGAAGCATCATCGATATAATAACAACAAAACGACCCACAACAACAATTCGATTGTCCAACAGCAGTCGGTTCAACAGGTACAGGCTCAGCCACCACAACAACAGCCAACGTTGCCAAACGAATCGTCGCGAACGCCCGATTTTTCGTCGCAATTCACTCCATTTGCACCACAATCGCAGCCAACGAATCCGATGGGGTTTCAACAATACCAAAATCCAATGCAATCAAACGCTTCGATTCACCCAAACGCGCAAGCAGGTCTCTGCGGCCCTGTCTCCCAGCCGAGAGACCTGCTGACTTACTCGAACATCGGATTGAACACGGGAGTTCACATCAGCAGCAACAACAGCCATCAATCGTTGGCACAGGATTTTATCCAGGTGCCGCAAATGCAGCAAATTTTACCGGAATCCACCATGCAAAGCATCACCTCAATGGAGCATTGCAACATCATAACGCCTATAACTATCAACACCAGCATCACTCAATCGTATCCGCTCATGCAGCGACCGGAGGACCCGAACTATATTATTGGTAATCAAATGATGCACACAGGTAATTCGAATGAAAGCACAACACCACCCATTTCATACTATGGCCATGACTATGACGAACACTACGAACACCATGGCTATCAGCACATGAGCGATGATGAAAACAAACATAGCAAATGCTATTCGAATGCAATTCCGGCTATAGCTGCTTTGCGGCGATTAAACAATGATATCCATCATGCCGACACCGTACCACCATTTTCACCGGATATTCCGGATAAACGAACAATGTCGATGTCAATGCCATACCATCAACGTGCGTTGACACCGCAAATGGGCGAAATTGTACCATCACACCTATCGCCAAATGCACCATCACATCATAACACCGCTGATATTCCAAAAAACGAAGCATCCATCGGCAATGAGCCCAGCTCGCCGAGCATCACATCGACCAATATCGGTTTTGAGCCATATCCAATCAAAGACACAACCAATGGCAATGCAAACCCGAAAATTCGCAACAAATCGAATAAACGTCGGGCAGCCGTTGACACAGCAAAACTAATAACAGACACAATTCCAGCGGGAAACGATCCTCTACGGTGCGACCCATGTGATAAAGTCTTTAACAAAGCCTGTTATTTAACGCAACACAATAAAACATTCCACAGCGGTGAAAAGCCGTTCAAATGTCAACGGTGTGGCAAACGTTTTCCATGCGATCAATCCCATACCGAACACATGGCCAAACACAATGGCAACAAGCCGTTCAAGTGCAACCAGTGCGTCAAACAATTCAATCACAAAACCGATTTGCGACGGCACATGTGCTTGCACACCGGTACAAAGCCGTACATCTGTGAAATATGCAACAAGGGTTTCATACGCAAGGATCACATGGTGAAGCACGGTCTGACGCATCTCAAGCGAAAAAACAGCGGCTATGCGGAGCCAAACACACCGACGGCAATCAAACAAAGAGCATCGGCCAAGGAACAACTATCATCCGATATGGACGAATTTCAGCCCGGTAAGCAAAATACCAATAGTTCGAATATAAATAATAATAATAATATTAAAGCTAAGAAACGAAATGCCAACAGTTCAAATCTCAAGAAAAAGAAAATACTTGTTGAAACTTTTACTATGCCGTAGAAAAAAGAAGAAATTTAAAATAGGTTTTATTATGTTTTATGTCTAGCTTCATTTAAATGTTCTTCAAAGACGAAAAAAAATTATTTGTTTCATCTCTGTATCATTTTAAGTAAGGTATTTTATGTTTATTTTGTTTCATTACTGTCAGCAGAATCATTCAATTATATAAAAGAAGAGAGGAAAAGCAGTGAAGAATTTTAACATTAAGCAATCAATGTCGATAGCCAATTTCAATCGGACATTCGTACGCGTTCGAATTTCATTCACATCACGATATAATTGAATTAGAACTTTTGGTACTTTTTTCTTCATTTTTTTTTTCGTTCGGTTTCGGTCTTTGATTTTCCTATCTTGCGCATAGACATCTCTCATACACATGTTCTGTCACAAACAAACAAGAAAGAACACTCACTTTAATTTCCCATTTTTCTTATCGTTTTCTCTCTAATTCAATGTGGTGCACAACACATATGATGCAAATGCAGCGCCAAAACGACGAAAATATGTCCTCGAAGTAGATTTGAATGCAAAGGTTATACCAGTCAAGTACAAACAGTTTTCAATCGACGAAATGCTCCAACGCAAACCAAGCCGAATGAATGAGAACAAAGAAAACATATTGAACGATGATCCAATGTATGTCGAGTGAAAAAAAAACATACAAAGCGAAGCAAAGCAAAATTGTCATTTGAAACCACAAGATTTATACACATTTTTTTTTGTAATTTGGAAAATATTGCGCAAACTGTTTAAATATATCTACCTCATCAATTGAAATATAAATGAAACTATCCGATTCAACAAAGATACAATAAGCCAATTTGAATTGAAATGAATATTTAATATTTAATAATTGAAGAAGAGAAATAACTCTAATCGTGCAGTACGTGTATTTGTAAACTGAGTCAGGAATTTTGTGGGGTGATTTGTTACCCTCGTCAGGTTAAATTCTGTATTTGATTTGAAATATACGAGATAAAAATGTTTTTTTAGAACATTTATTTATACACTACCTCAACTTATACAATTTTATAAATCAATAATGGAAGAGAACTAAAAAACAACTAAATAAATGAATGCAACAGCCAAACGACAAATCAAATTAAATGCCACACAAAAATGTTCACATCAATTATAATTATCATGAGAACACACAATATTTTTTCTTGCCTGTTTCCTTTTAAATAGTCAAATCAGCTAGCCAAATTTTAATGGAGTAGTCTATTATAATAAAAAAAAACTCATTTTTTTTTGCCTGTTTCTAACCTAAATGAAAAAAGATATACCATGGGTTTCAAAGTCAAATCGTATATCACGCACTCGGAATTCGTCGATTCAATGCGACTATTGATATATTTTTTTGCGTATGCCGCAATTTTATTCTTATTTTTTTTTTTTGCTCATTGTTATTTGAAGATTTTACTGAGCTGATTTTGCTGCATAGCAATAATCAACACATACACACACATTAAATGGATTCATATAGTGCAATTCAAAAGAATTTTCTATTAAAAATGTCAATTGTATGCAATACTTCGCATTCCGAGTCTGGGAAACGCAAAGGATAACATGCCATAGATTTAAACAAATAAAATAGAAGAAGATGATGATGAAATAAGAGCACAACTTGTTAAGAACTTCTAGAAAATATTCAAACCGTTAACCATATTTGATACAAATAAAAAAAAAAAAACGCAGAGTAAATGTGACTAAGACATAGAACTTACCATTGTTTTTTGTTCATTTTCAAACACTTTTCTTTTGTGTTGTTTAAGTATTTGTAGTTGCACGCGCTGATGTTGAATTTTATAGAAAGCAACTGTAGCAAATAAGTGGCATACAGAAAAAAAGAACACTACAAACTCAGTGTCAGTAAAAGTGGACAGATGAAGAAATTACATGCAAATCTATAAATATGAAAACAAATGGAACACTGTATAAATTGAACGAAAATTGAAAGAGTCAAAGGAAAGTCGCCTATTAATTAGTACTTAAAGTTCTAACGAAACAAAAGAAAAGGGAGAGTAAATGACATAAAGAATAAATAATATCAAAAATAAAGTAACACCGTTATTGAAACAATTGATAAGAAGGAAAAGACAGAATAAAAAAGAAGAAAGTATCTATTTACACTTTACCACAATAAAAAAGAAAAAAAACGAGATTTATACTCAGATTTACTAAGCTTAGCCCATTTATATTGTACGACATTTTCTGTAAGGAATCTTAACTGGAATGCATCAAAGATAAAAACAAAAAGGACTAACAACAACAGAAAATAACACAACGGAACTCAAGTACCTCAAACCATACAAGCTCAAGAATTGATTAATAGTTTTCTAACGCATATAAATATATACAAAAACAATGGAACAATAAAAGGAAAATAGTGCAAACTGAAACTTAGAGGATGCACAAAAGCCAATTAATGTGCACGAAATAGACAAATACACTAGCAGCCGCAAAGAAAACACTGCTTTATCTCACTTTGTTTTTGTTAACAAGTTCTTTTTTTTTTCTTTACGTTTTACAAAATGCCTTTTTGTTTCATTGTTTATGCACAATTTTTCTTCATTAATTTTTGTTCATCAGTTCGTATATCTAGAATGAATTGTATTTTCGTGATTTATCCAACAATTTTATACTTAGATTGTATATATAATTTCATTCCATGTGGAAATTAACAATTTTTTTTTCCTGAAATAAGACAAACGACTTGCATAGAATAAAAATAAAAGATATCAGACTGTCTTTTTTATGAAAAAAAAAACACACACTTTTTTGTTTTTATTTTTTGGTTCAATTTTTATTTCAGTTTCATCTTTATTTTTGGTTCAGGTAAACATTTTCTTTTTTTTCTTTCTTTTGATTGATGAGTCATTTTTTGGCGAAACAAAAACAAATCGCTAAAAAAAAACGTACAAGAGTATTGTACTCACATTAAACCCAGACGAAATTCCAAAATGTGTTACAGTTTCCCTTTGGTCAAAGAAGATTTCGGTGTAAAGTGAACAATGGTTCTCATGGATGAGAATTAAGTGGTTCTTCTTATATTTTAGCAAGTAGAACGTTCAAATAGTAGATGAGAGAGACAGTAAACCGATTTTCAAAAACATTCTATGTAATTTTATTGAAATCTAAATTCCCGCTGGATTTTTTCGAAGGAAAAAAAATCAACAAAATAAAAACAGTTTAGAGTTTCAAGCAAAAAATGTATACTTAATTGACTCAGTATTAGGAAAAGTGAGAGCACGCACTTGATAACGTGTTGAATAACTTAAAAAGTTGTATGAGAACAAAAAGAAGCATTTCTTCATAGATTAAGTATATTTATGATTGTCCATATCTGTTTTTGTCGATCTGTGTTGAATTCACATATCTTTTCTATTCGTTCTGAATTTTTTACGTTCACATTTTTCCATTCTCTTCGGTTCTCAATGGATTTTAATGTGTATAATTTTGCAATATCGAATTGATCCACAACGTTTACATATCTCGTTTTGAACAGAAATCAATTCAATGAGAAAAAAAAAATCTGTCTCCATTTTTCATATCTTTGTGAGCGTGGTTCACAAGTAAAACATTGTTCACAGAACGTGAAAAGAAAAATTCCGCCAAATTGTGGAATTAGTAATTAAAAATTTAGTTTAGAAATCAGAGTTTTCTTACAAGCTTCAATACATGGATGTAATTACACATTTCGATATGATTGACAAGCAAAGTGAAACAAAACCCAAAAACTTACAAGTTTATTAAGTGTTTAACGAAGAAAAAAAAGAAGAAAAGTCATTGGAAGAACCGAAATTGGTAAAAAAAAAAAATTTAACGAAAATAAGTGTAATTTCAATGAATTTTCTTGACTAAAGATTTAAGATCACATTTAATTTCAAATAACAATTCAATGGTACTACGAATTCGAATTATTCTTAGGCAGGTGTAGCATATATATATTAAAACAAAAACCGGTGACAAGCAAAATACTCTGAATCCTGTTATAATTCAAAACTTAGCAACATTCTTTTTAGTTAAATTAATTGTGAAGTCATGTGTTGATTTCAATAACCAAACTACCGCTAACAGCTTAAACGAACCATAAATAGAAATCCAATGAATTTGATTGTCCTGCAAAGCCTTTGTGCAATAAAGTCTTCATTCTATGAAGTAGTATGTTCAGTTTACACTCAGTTTTTTTTCCGTTACATTGTTTACGTTGCAGTTTATAACATTAAGTATTGTCAGTCTGTTCTCACAAAATGCAAAACAAAGAAGCAAAAAAAATGTATTGTAAATGTTCTGAATAATTCGTTAAATATTCTTGTACATTGTGGACTATGTTCTTTTTCAGCAATATGCAAGCAAATACACGAGATGATACATTGCAATATTTCTACGTCGTTGGCGGCGAGTTCAGTCATTAGGCGGATATTTATCGGTCAATTTTTTTTTTTTTGAAGAAACTTGAAAAATATTGCAAACTTGCAAAAAATTTAGACAACTTTAATGTGAACTCGCAACAAAAAAAGTCAATACCTTTGAGCTCAAACGATCGTTAAATATGGCAAAGTAATTTCTCATTTCGGAAAAAAAATTGCAAAAAAAAATTCTCAAATAAAAAACAACAAAAAAGTAGTCTATAAAGCAGTCAGGGATCTTTAACGAAAGAGAAACAAAAATCATAATTAACAATTCATTTGAATGAATGGCGCTCATATCAATAAAACGAAAGCATGCTATCAAATGTTGAAGCAAAGAGCGAGCGTCTCCCTTTATAAGTCAACGAAAAAAAAAAACAACATACAAACAAAAATACGACAGAAGAATCATGATATGCTGAAAACTAAAAATATCAACCAAAATAATAACTGAAATGAGAATGAATAAAATTTGATTGATTAAAAAATTGAAAAATCGTATAAAGTTGTTCCGAATCATTTCTTTGAGTTTTTGGGTTCATGCTAGACAAGCGTCGTCGCATGGTATACAATGAACGGTAAGTTAATAGAGAATACTTTGTACATTCATTGTGAGATTAATAAAACTCTTCGCCCCTCCTTGAGTTAATCACAGCTGTCACGGTGAAATCACATCACACGCCATACGGATTAGTATCAATAACAAACTGTTGTTTCACTTCGGTTTTTTTTTTCATGTACTCTCAACCGTCCAGTGTAGCATCTTCAAAGAGAAAAAAACGCGACGCACAGTTCAATGTCTGCCGTCTCTGTGTGTCGGTTGGCACGAAAACTTCGTCTCAATCAGACATTGTGTTTTGATCGTTGCGTGCACTCTCGACAAACTTTGAAAGACAAATGAGATACGAATCAATCAAATCAAAAAATTCCGAAATGGACACCATAATGTGTGATCACCGAGGAGAATAATTTACACAGAACAAAAAAATTGAACGAAATGCCGGGCAACAAGAAGAATAATTAAAACTGAATTGAGCAAATGAGCACGAATGAAAAAATGATGGCTGATATGAACTGCAATTTCGGCTGCTTCTATTGACCACCACCGAAACAAGAACGAGAATCTTAGTAGGAAGTACTGTTTTATCTCCGAGCGAATCGATGTCACAGACTGAAACCACATTCGCTTTACACGCTCATTTCGGACTCTAAGCCGTTTTTGCATGTTTGCAAACGGAATAATGTTGCAAATGTGAAAATATAAATATTGTTGTGTCTACAATCAACAAATTTAACGTTGTTTATTAAGTTTTGGCATGGGGAAAAAATTGTTCAAATTCGTCTAATTAATTATTGTGTATGGTTCGAGAATGTTGCAGTTGTGTTCATTAAAAGAAGCCAATAAGTGAACACGTGTGTATGATCCTGAATCAGAGGAGGTTCATTTACCTAAAGACATTAAAAGTTCGACGCCAACAAACCACCACACACAGCAAATTGGACCGACTGAATGAGTGCCGATGCACACATAACAAAGTCGTTAAGTTACTTCAGTTTCTTACTGATGTTGCTGCTTTTTTTTATTTTGTTGCAATTTTCGTACAAATAACATAAATGATTGATGGTGCGAAGTGGTTTTTTTCGCATCATATTTTTTTCGGTACTAGTTTAAAAGAGAGTGCCATAATTAAGTATCGCTGTTTCGTTTCATCGGTAATTATCCAACTGCTGAATTGTTGTTGTTGCACACAGATATAAACCAGATGCAGTCCTCCGCACAGTGACACCGTCGAGTGGAAGAGAGCGAGAGATTGTCGATAAACGGATTCAAACTTGATGTTGAAATACAAAAAAAAAAAGAACGAGCTGATAATTAAAACAGCACATTTTTAAAACACAAGACCAAGAAATCGCTTCAGATCTGGAATCAGAAAAAAAAGCAGCGAACAACAACACGAGATGAAAAATATACGTTTCGTTATTGATGTAGTCGCGGCGCAGCAAAGAATGTTACAAATCACTTTTCTTTACGTTTCGTTCTCTGACGTACTTCAAATGCATTCATTTATTTTTCAGCACAGCAAATGATAATGACCTAACTTCGAATGTAATCATCATTCATTTGTTGTTCGTCGACTATCATCACGAATTCATCACTCATTAAAGTCCATGAGAGCAGGGAATATCATTGCTGCTGCAGAATAGCTTTTACTTGAAGGTCATCGATCGTCACATTGACTACGAATTGGTCTATATTGGTCAAATTGAACTATATTTTGAACTACTCTAGACTGAAACCATTTGAACATG